AAAAAAAAAATCAAATCATTTCATGTTTGCAGCTGTAGCAGACACTGTCTGGTTAGGAAAATATACTCCTTCCAGCAGCAAACCCACATGCCTGTAGGGCTGATTTCTTTAACAACTTATCTAGATTCTGAGACATGTCCTGTACAAACACCTGGTCAGATGTCCTATCAGTCAGTGGACCTATTGCGAGTTGTCAAGAACTTTAATTCACTCCTAACCCAAACGTGAAGCGTAAAGTCTTCAAAGCTGAAACTGCAATACTGCATCAGTCATCAAGAAGGGGAAACTTGCAACCTGTACATTGCTCTCTGACTGGCAGCTGAACAATAAGAACTTTGCTTTATTTTTGGCAGTCATGATGACATCATTTGTAAGAAACAAAAACAGTGCCTGTTTGTCCCGTCCTATACCTGTTGGCTATTACCTGTCTTGTAGTCAAACACTTCATTGTTAAGCTGCAGAACAAGATACCATTTTACAGATATAGAAACTGAGGCACTTGGAGATGATGTGACTTACTCTGTCACCCGGCATTTTAAACCCATGTTTCAAGCCACAAGTGCTCAATTTCATTGCCTTCCTGAAAGCATTTCACATGCACAACTGCTTTACATAAAGAACTGTTCCTGGGAAGTAAGAAAGAGCAACAGCACCACAGACCTACAGAATTCCTTATTCAAGGATATTTAGTTGTGCCAGACTGCTGTCCTAACACCCTCAGAGTCATGTGAGTGTAAAAAAAAAAAATCAACTGTTCTGCAATTTTTTGATGTGGGAAGTTGTAAGGGACCTCTGGAGATCATCTAGCCCAGCGCCCCCTGCACAGGCAGGGTCAACTAGAGCAGGCTGCCCAGGATCACGTCCAGACAGGTTTTGAGTATCTCCAAGGATGGCGGCCCCACAACCTCTCTGGGCAACCTGTCCCAGGGCTCAGTCACCCTCACAGTCAAGAGGTTTTTCCCCACATTCAGACAGAACTTCTTGTTTGTGCTCGTTGCCTCTCGCCCTGTTGCTGGGCACCACTGAGAAGAGTCGGGCTCCATCTTCTTTACGTCCTTCCTTCAGCTATTGAGACGCATTGGTAAGATCCCCCCTCAGTCTTCTCTTCTCCAGGCTGATCGGGCCCAGCTCCTTCAGCCTTTCCTCACAGGAGAGAGGCTCCAGTCCCTTCATCATCTTTGTAGCCCTTTCGCTGGACTCGCTTCAGGAGCTCCGCGTCTCTCTTGCCCTGGGGAGCCCAGCACTGGCCTCCCCAGGGCTGAGTAGAGGGGCAGGATCACCTCCCTCCACCTGCTGGCAACACTCTGCCTAATGCGACCCCGGATGCCGTTGGCCTTCTTGGCCACAAGGGCACACTACTGGCTCAGGGTCAGCTTGTTGTCCACCAGGGCCCTCATGCCCTTCTCCGCAGAGCTGCTTTCCAGCAGGTCAAGCCCCAGCCCGTACTTGGGGCATGGGCTTATTCCTCCCCCGGTACAGGATGGCACTTCCCTTTCTTGAACTTCATGAGGTTCCTCTCCGCCCAGCTCTCCAGTCAGTCCCCATCCCTCTGAATGGCAGCACAGCCCTCTGGGGTTATCAGCCACTCCTCCCAGTTCTGTATCACCAACAAACTTACTGGGGATGCACTCTGTCCCATCCTCCAGGTCACTGATGGGAAAGTTGAACAATACTGGACCCATCATCCAGTCTAAAGTCCCTAAAGGCATCCCTATCACCCTGCCACACTCAGTTCCTCACACGTACCCAACAGGAACAGTAAACAGATACCAGACTTCTTCCCCATACTTCTCTGCTATGGAAGGAGAAACTTGACCACTCCCATAACATGTGTACTTCAGACTCTACAAGGAGAAACACTGCAAAAGGGAAGATACCTTTATTTTTTCCCCTCCCTTAAGATGTTAGTCTTGTTGATCTGCAACAAGGTTTAATGAGGCAAAGCATTGCTGAAATCCATTTCAATAAACAGCATATTAAGACCACAGGGAACCTGTCCCCTATGTGGTTTGGCCTGCAAAGGACATGCCAGCCCATAACCGTGCTTACAAGCCCTTCCCCCTCCCCCCCCAATGATTTTGCCTCATCCAAGAGGCATCATCCTCCTAAAGGAGGGAATCACAGGCTTGAGGGGCAGAAAGCAGGGGGGAAGGAGAAGGAACAGAGACATTGCAATACATGATCCAGGTGAAGGATAGGCTGAACAAGGCCCTTTGTGAATCTGTGGCTGCCCATACCTGTGCTAACCTGAAAGCAAAGAGATGGTTTGGTACCATCTGGGTAAAATCAAAGTAATTGGCTTGAAGTTTCTCAGGACTTTCCCCATCATAGGGAACTACAGGTGACCACAGCTTCTAAATTACAAGCTTTTTCTATGCATTTCCCTCAGAGAGAGGATACAACACTACTAGCTTAATTTCAGAAGTGACAAACTGAGAAGCTGTAGGGTGGAATACCTTAGCTGAGATGCCAGCAAGTCTGTGGCCCAGCTAAGGACAGACCCTGTCTCCTAGTTACAAGTCATTTATTTGCTAGACTTTTAAGAAAGATATCCTTCTTGTCAGAGAGGAGGCTGCTTAGATCCACCCCCCTTCTCACTCTCAAACATGCAGGCTGAATGCTTGAGGCAGTTCACTTTTGATTCTCTTGCTTTCAGCTTCAGGCTGCACCCCCTCTCAACATTTCCAATTAATTTCACTTCTAATCACTCCAGCAAGGGGGGGGGGGGGGGACAGTTTGCTCATGTAAAAACACATTGGAACATGCTGAATGCTTCCTGCTCCCAACAGTTAAGTTTCACTGTATGTTTATCTTTAGTATTCAGTGGTACTTAGGCTCTAAATGGGCCACAAAGACCTGATGCACCTAGATGCTTGTCTGACTACCTCCTTACTGGGGCATATTTACCTGTGCTTCTTTATGCTGCTTTAGTATGTAAAGCCAGTGTCTCAGCCTGGACTCAAAGTATTCCCATCTGTTTATTGTCACTCAGAAATACTTCACAGAGCATGCATGGCATTTTATTTTATTTTTTTCTTTTTAAAGAAAAGTTTTATTATCTATACTCAAGAGAAGTCTTGGATTGGCTTTTTTAATTAAATACTTGTTTTATCTCCCCATGTCTTGTTGCTGTTTTCACACTATTTTTCCATTCTATGCTTTTGGATGAAGATCACAGTTACAATATGATTTATAACAACCTTCTACTTATCAGGTACTCTGACTTCTTAGGAGGAAGAACATCCAGCTTCCTCATCAGCTTTTATTTTAATTAGGCTCAAAATGCCCTTTTCCCCCCGACCCTATATAACATGTCAGTGAGCAGGAAGGAACACAGCCATATTACTGTTTCTCTTTAGAACAAAGGCAGGAACTTTTGATCACTGTGGTTTCTATGCCAGATTAGTGATGGAGGCAGCACAACAACACTTTTCAGTTTTCTCCAGAAGCCAGCATACAGATGCTACTGGGCTGAAGTTTAGTTGACAGAAAACTTGCATCTTGAACTGCCCTAAGGCTTGGAGCCAGAATTTGAATTCAGCTAACTAGAGCTGAATCCAAGCTGAATTTTGAGCTTTTCCAAACCTAAGAGGAAGGTGCAAGATTTGGATACTGACTGCCATAGTCATTCAGATCTGGGACTGAGCTTGTTTCCTCCTCAGGTGCAAAGCAAAGTATCTCCATAGTCAGGTTAGTCAGCCCTATGTTTCCTTTCCTCAGAAGGATGAGGAAACACTTATCTAAACAGCCACAGCTGGATCTGACATGAGGAAGCAGAATGATCCCAGGAACCATCACACAAGACTCTTGGTTTTAACAGGGTTAGTTTACTGTTCACAAGTCCAACCGTATCAGGCCAGCAGCTGCAACACAACTCTTCAGTAATGCCATACGGCATATTCAAGCTGTTGTTACTGTTTGCCCCTTGGGCCTTGACTGGAAAACAGCAAGGACTGAGGAATCACAATTCTGGTCTTCTGACATTACAGAGGAGAAACAATAGATAGAACAGCGAGATCCTCAGTAGTGTTGATAAAGGGCAAATGCTACAAACACACAGGATGCATAAATGAAGGTTTAAAGTGAAAAAACATGAAAGTTTTTTGCAGATTAAGAAAGCAAGCAAAACTGACAAACAACTATTTTTCAGAAAACTTCAGCCATGCAGCAAAAGTCAGAGGCAGGTGGTCAGCTCCCTCCACATGGTAATTCTTTTGTACTCCTTGCTGGTTTGCCCTGCTGGGGCATCAGCTCCCGATGTTTGCACTCTAGTATGCTTTTACAGTCAAGCAGGGACAAAATGCTCAGCCCC